GACCCCGCATTCCCGTGCCAATCCTTGACGCATTTCGTCCTTGTTAGGACTCATCAGAAGGACATAGGCTGAAGCTCCCTGTTCAAGCAAATTGAACTTCGATGACCAATCAGAAACAACTACTCCGAGGGCAAATACCCCTACCGGCATTGAACTACACTGCGGGGTCCACTACTCAGTGGGTCGATTCCCAAACAGGGACTCTTGTCCCTGATTTGCACGTTGGTCATTACCTGAAAAAACTTTCAAACAATTTTCATTGCCAACGAAAGCTCAGACCAATCAGTGTAGTTCAATGCCGGTAGGGGTATTTGCCCTCGGAGTAGTTGTTTCTGATTGGTCAACGAAGTTCAAGTACAAAGTTATTATGAATAGATGTCAGTGCCCACTATTATGACTACGTATATCCTAATGGTAAACTTTGCAAATTATCCGATTCCATTTCAACAATCTCAAGTAATAATAACACTATCAAACAAATAATATATTTATTATTATTTAGGGTCACTCCATAACATACAAACCAAAACAAAACAAGCAACGCTATCGAGTATTGACCAATCAGGTGCTTAGAATTCGTTCCCATAACTGAACCCATTGGGATTGGCGAATATGCGGACCTCACGCATATTATTCAGTTTAAGGCTATGGTCCGAATATAACCAAATGTTAACCAAAATAACCGATCCGGTTGACAGATGGTTACTGAAATTTCCGGGTACCTAGGGAACACGAATATGAAATGAAAAATTGTTGACAGAATTTTTAGGAATTTACAGATAAAACCAATGAACTAGACCTAAAAACTGGAATGCGCACACAGTGCCATATCTGCCAAAAAAATGAAGCCATGAAAGACAGATGCCACAACGGGGAATGTTGTCTTTTTCTGTTGCTCGCTGACATATGACGTTTTCGAAAGTTTTGTCATATTTTCCTTCACAGATTTCATCAATTGGAATACGTGTTGGAAGCAATTTTCGCCATTTAACATAATGAGTGCGACAAAAACAGGTATCCCCTCCGCAGCAGCCGCACTAGGCTTCACGTTCGTCCTTATGTGTTAGCATTCCAGTTTTTGTTTATAGTTCATGGGATAAAACCAACAGAACCGACATCCGATAGTCGGTAACTATTTTGACATTTGGTTAACCAGATTTCAGGAAACCAAGGTCCAAAAGTAACCACTTTTCCAAGTACCAGAGTAATTTGATCGCTTTCGGACCGCGAAACCACAGCCCTGGTTATATTCGGACCACAGCCTTAATATTGTTTTAGATAGGTAGTTTTCATGATGTTTTTGTCAAATATATAAATTTTAAAATTTTATTATTAATCTAGACGCGTCGGGCCTGCGGCCCGACCGGCCCAGAGTTATACCGGGCCCGGTTGCCCGGTTGCCCGGTTGCCCGGTTGCCCGGTTGCCCGGTTGCCCGGTTGCCCGGTTGCCCGGTTGCCCGGTTGCCCGGTTGCCCGGTTGCCCGGTTGCCCGGTCGTCCCATCCAACCCTGCTAATAGGTTTGTTCCAACCCGTCAAAAAAACGTCCCAGAACGGTTTCGGAACGACTCTGTATACGAATTTCGGTTTCTATGCAAAAATTTTAGGTTTTGCGCTGAATCCTGACGATAATATTAAGGTTTCCTGCTGGGTTAGAACAAACAAAGCTCAATGTCTCTATTTATCTTACCAATTGAAATTTGAAAACATTTCTGTTCGTTGGTACAAAGTTCTCTTATTTACTAACATTTAGTTCACATTCTTCGATGGGATCAACCAATAATCCAGTTTGGTAATATCACTTATAACACTTATGGCCATTTCCACCAACTAGTTTTTTTCGGGAAGCCCTAACGATAAGTATTCCCTAAACTGACAGTTTTCCATGGAGAAATGTCAGTTTAGGGAATACTTATCGTGATAGTTTGTGGAAACGGCCATTAGGGCCAGTTTATTCACCTTCTGATAAACTGTCAGGTGTCAGGTATGCAATCTGAACGATAAAAATGCAATATCTTATCACATTGGTTGGCCAGCTATGCGCCGACCAATAGATTTATCGAACGGTTAATTTATCTTGCCGATAATTACCCGCAAGTTTATCTGAATAGAAATAAACCGGGCCTAATAAATATAAAAATCGAAAAAACAAAATACGAAATTTTAGGTAAATTGGTGTTTGCATACTTTTGCATTAGCTTTATTCATAAATCCTCATATGACAATATCTGAGCTATAACATTTTCAATGGACAGCAGGGCTAGATCTTGAAGGTTTCTCTATTCTGCTAGAGTTGACCGCTAAGGTAAGTTTTAATTACCTCAAGCTTACTAAAGCTCCGTTCACCTTTCGGCACTGTAACAGGAATGGTAACAAAAATACGGAGAGCTGTCCAGATATAAGGAAACGTATCTTGCCACTTATTAAATGCTAACGCCTGAAGGACTGCTTTCAGGTGACCGTTATCACTATCCGAAATATCGTGATCAAATGCTCGGGTAAGGGCGCCACCACACCCACGATCTGTGCGCGTCTCAAAAAAACGTCAGGACAGGTTATTCACATACTAAGTAAGCACAAGCTTGCTCACAAGCAGAAAAGCAAAATATCGAAAAGCAGAGACAGAATTCAAAGCGATAATATATTTTTCCCTTTTTTTTATTACCAAGGAACAAGTCGAAGGCGCCCCCCGAGGTCTGGCGCCTGGAGCGCTCGCTCAGTTCGCCTTATGGTAGGGCCGGCCCTGGATAGGGACTGTTTAGTGGGGTCATTTTTTTTTTAGGCATTTTGAGGGCTGAATGTGGCTAGTTAGCTGATGAGAATATGGGTGATTTTAATGTCTGCTTTCTGTTCGATAATTTGCAGAAAAAAATTAATTTGTAAAGCATTTTTTTTTAAATCTTAAATTCTCTGGCTTTTGAATGAAAGATTGACATTGATAAATAATTCACCCATAAAAAATACCAGATGCTTTCAAATGGCTGAAAAAGTGAGGATAGGTGTCAACTTGCAAGAGAAAAGTATAGAACCTTCCGCATTTACTTTCTGTCTGGCAATCGAGATAATAAAAGATTTTGCTGTGAAAATAACGCTGAAAAATTGCCCGACGGTAATCGCCGTTCGAAATCGAGTTTTTCTAAAAATTTTGAGGACGTTTCGAACAGGGATCAGGAAATAAAACTACTTATATTCTCATCAGCTAACTAGCCACATCCAGTCCTCAAAATGCCAACTATACCACATCCAGTCCAAAAATTATTTTTGGGGATAGACATGCTGTGCTGCCAATTTTTCGGTTAGGAGGAGTGACGAGTGACTTTGATGGACTTGATGGAGGTTGGAGGTTAATGTTTATCGTGATTAATTACAAATTTAGTTACTTTGGTCAGAGTAAACTATCGATACTACAATCGATAATTACTATCGATGGGTAGGCCATTCTATCGATATCACTATCGATAGTTTTTTTTTCAATAGTTTGTCAACCCTATGGCACGCTGGCTCTTATCTGACGCCGCTCTCAAAATCAACGAAAAAATTAACTCACTGGCACAGCCTGAATCGTAAGCATTCAATTGAGGTCTGCGGGTGACGTCATCACTAAATTCTGCGCACCGCAATATGGTGTCCAAACAAAAGGTCAATTAAGTTGAGTTCGGAATGGGATTTTAGTGCAGTGCTAGTGCGGTGTTCAATGTTATATCACGTGGTGAAGGAGTAATCGGCGGTTTAACACCGAATACACCATCATTTTGTACTGAGTAAACGCTGTCCCACCATCTCCACACCATCCGGGTACAAATTATTTCCATACGCAAATAAAGTGTACACAAACCTAAACTCACTCACTCCTACCAATTAATGAACGCCACAGTGACAATAGTCTAAAACTGTCGACACTTTCCACCATTCCGAACTCACCTTTAGTTGTTGCAAGATAAGTCCATTGTTCATATGTAATCATCTTTCCTTCTACTCAATTTAAGCGGTTTAAAACTATTGACATTTACCGCCAAAATTTGAAGCACTCCAAGTTCACTCGCGCCCTTTACAAAATTTTGGGGAACTTAACTGGATATTTGCTGTCATTAAAATCTGTTATTTTTTTTTAAGATAAAAGTGAAAATGACATGATAGCCGCTTTCCAGCTGACCATTTTGAGCACGCAATCGAGCTTTTGCGCGCGCAAATGCTTTAAGCGCGTGTTCGTGTTCCAGCCGTACTGCGCTTCGAGAGCTGCTAACTTTTGCGTTTCAAGCACAGAACACTGTGCTGCACCGTGCTTGAAGCACACAGCTGGAAAGCGGCATGTTGGCAATACAATGTAAAATTGTCAATGCGTTCAAATTTTTTATGTAGAAAAGGCTTGCGTTGCCAACATAGTTACTAAATTTTTGACTTGGGGAATTATCTCTAAAAAAAAACAGACTTTATTTCTTTTTTTGTGGTGTTTTTATAAATAACTCAAGGGAATCCACAGCAGCATCATCGCTCACTACTCTACTAAAAAAGGTGGCCTCTTTTTCTTTTGGTTTGTGCTGCTTAATTGATAGCAATCCACACTCCACATCCTCAACAAACCGGCAACATCAGCTGGGTTCGGCTTGCTCACTTCGTGCACTCTGAGTGACTCCCTTCGCACTCCAGCCGTTCGGGTATTGCCTTTTAACGAATCAGAAATCAGACAACGGCTGGAGTGCGAACGGAGTTACTCGGAGTGTACGTAGTGTGCAACCGAACACAGCTATCACTACTGAATTTGACTTTTATCTCCACAATCTCCTTTCCCGAAGCGGAACTTTTGGAGTGAGCCATTTACTCGACTGATTTTAGGGTTATGGAGGAGCTCCAAACTCCAGGACGTTATACAAACCCGAACACTGTACGATTTTCATATCGCACCGCACACCATTCACCAAAAGATTCCATTCACCAAGTTATCGAACGCAGCCCAGTTACTCCGATTGGTTTGTTTCGTTTCATCATCATAACCTAAAAAAACAAATTTTCAAATTTTGTTTTTGTTTTGGGTTTTCATAATTTTTGCAACAAACGAACAAACAAATTGTTAAAATAATTATTTATTTATAAAAGTAAAAGGCTACCTGTGAAAAATGGCCCAAATTATTAATCCGAAAGAGAATCTTGCAGCAGCGCTTGGGCCCACCAAAAAAGCGGACCAGGAAATGGTAACTCCATATAAATTGACTGTAGCATTATTTATAAAGGTTTATTGCCAATTTAGGGAGTGCGGTAAGTGGTTAATAAAGTATACGTTGAAACCAACGACATCTTAACACAGATAGACACCACATCTCATTCATATAAACCTTGTTGTGTTGTGGTTGTGATGACAAGACCCCCATGGGCCAGGAGAGGTGAGTTGCTGGAGGGGGTCATGGTGGGGATGTATCAGAGGTGTAATGAGAGGTGTAAACAAGACCGCCCTTTCCCTCTGAACCCGTCATTCACTCGGGCATTCACTTGACCTAAGTAATAAACCAAAAAACAACAACTTGTTCATCTCTCGGTTCATCTATCTCTTATGTGATAATTATGATATACATATTCATTTGATGGGCGCCTTGAGAGGATTGTCAATCCATTGCAGCGTGTGTTCCGGCTTCATAAAACCAGCAATGCCAGGAGTCTTTTTTTAGTCTTGAAAGCTCCAATTTTTTGAAGCAATAGGTAACAGGATAAAATAATCTCTAACAATTTGGCAACCTAATTGGAGGGGATTCACCTGAAGTGGATCATTCTCCTAGATGTTGGTGACGAAAAAAAAATTGTTTTCTGTTATCTATCTGTGCTTATATAGTATGTCATTGGTTGAAACTTTTAAAAAATACATCATATTGGATATCCAGAGTTCAGAGAGTGCACAGAATCAACTTTCGTTTGCAACATTTGTTTGCAGAAAATCATTTTTAAAAAAGGAACATGCTACTACAATGTCATTGTTGGGTAATACTGAGGGTAATACTAAATACTACTCCAGTTTCTGTTCAAAATAACAGTTTAATATACCTACTAGCTAGAAGTAATTAAGTAATGTAATTATTTTATTTAAAAAATTGTCAAAAGTTTTTAACTAAATCAGTACACAGGTCACAGGGTGCGTCAAAAAAGTGTATCAGAGCAGAGCGAAGTTATATTTTTTTAAATGACCATGAATTAAAAATAAGTAGTAAATAAATCCTATATTTAAATCAGGAAAGGCGGATCTTATGAATAATTACAATTACAGACCTATTTCAGTAATTAGTATTTTTTCGAAAATTATACAGTGTGTCCCGCTTAAGACTGACCACCCTTCTAAAATATTTATTTTTCAACCGATTCAATGAATTTTTTTTTGTTCTATATCTACTCCAATTTGGCACTTATTTGACTCATAATTTTATTTCTGCGGCTGTACTGGTGTACAGGGTGTCCACATTTATAGGGTCAAATTTTAATAAGTACTATTGGGGATTTTTTTAGAAAAAATCTGATAGCAGATTCAAATTTAGAATGGTCCAAAACCCGAATGTACTAATTTTTGTTCCAATACGATACAGGGTGATGACAAAAAATTTCCATAATTTAATGAATCAAACCGCAAAAATGTTATATTTTGAGACAAGCTTACTATAAGTTTTGGTTAATTTTGTTCTAAAACTATGTTTCATCAAGTTTTGTTGTTCTCAATGCTGGAAAATATGACATTTTTCCGATTTGGTACATTAAATATTAATAATTTGTTGTGATCACCTTATATCATATAGGAACAAAAATTAGTACATTTGGGTTTTAGACCATTCTAAACAAGAATCTTCTATCAGATTTTTTCTAAAAAAATCTCTAATAGTAGATACTTATTGAAATTTGAGCCTACAAATGTGGACACCCTGTACACCAGTACAGCCGCAGAAAAATTATGAGCCAAATAAGTGCCAAATTCGAATAGATATAAGATTTAAAAAAATTAATTGAATCGGTTGAAAAATGAAATTTTTAGAAGGATGGTCAGTCCTTAAGCGGGACACACTGTAGAAAAAATCATTAATAATAATAATATTAATAATAATAATAAATAGCTATATTTCCTTATAGTGAAAGATCCGAATAGGAAAGGATCTGCACCCATCTGTTTATTGGGTGAAAATTATGTTATATCAAAGTTAGTATGTTAAAAAATATATCAGGTGTGGGTTGGCTAAAAAATTCCTGGCCAGACTATTATTAATAAATAATTCAAAAATTATAATTGTCAAAGGCATTGCACTCATTTGTTTAACGAACAAATTTCATACTAATCGAAAGTATAGGGCCTAAAGAATATAGAAACGTTGGGGTGTCTATTTTTTTCCTGGCATAACTATTGGGTTGACAGGTTTGAACAGGTGAGTCGATACTAGTAATTTACACCCATCTGTTTAATGTATAAATCATACACCACTCTGTCGCATATTTCCATCCGCACCAAAATTTCGCTTTTCAAAGCTCGCCAACCGTCATTTAGGCCAGATTTTTCGTAGACAACCCTATATCATCGTGTTCGCAATAAAATAACTTTTTTTTTATATAAGATTTATTCATTAAACAGATGGGTGTGAATTACTAGTATCGACTCACCTGTTCAAACCTGCCAACCCGATAGTTATGCCAGAAAAAAAATAGACAATCCAACGCCCTATACTTTCGATAAGTTTGAATATTCTTGATGCACTTATTGTCTTTAATTCTTGAGGCAAGGCGTTGAATAACTTCAAACACATGTACTGGGGCATCTTTCAGTCAGTGTGATTTTTTGTGTTGGGTACATCATGTTGGGCTGTACGTCGTTCACAACTGCTTCAGATGCGTACTAACCCTTTTGATAAATAAAATCACCAACTTGAAGGAAGAATTATAATATGCTCGATGACAGGAGTTTTAAAAAATATGACAATTTTTTGACAATCGCAATATGACAACCAACCGAACATCATTATAAATTAAAATCATATATCTAAATCTTAACATACACCTCCCCTTGAAAGGCTGAGACTTTCAAAAGAAGAAATGGAGAACATACTTATTTGTAATAATAGTAAACAAAAACACTAAAATATCTGATTTTTGAAGTAAATCATAATAGTCTCCTAACTCTTGGTATTCTCGAAGACTTTTTTCAGTTGTCGATCGGCAATAAACTAAGTTTGGTCACCGCCCGTTTCACAATATTACTCTTAGTTTTTATCGTTGCCACTCGCACAATATTGTCTGTACCAGGATGGACTTCCAAAATTCGCCCCAAAGGCCAATACAAAGGGGGTACGTTATCCTCTTTCAAAAGCACTATAGAGCCAACAGTCATCTGAGGATTCTTCTGGAACTGCCATTTGGTTCGCTGCTGCAGAGTGTGGAGGTACTCTTTAACCCAGCGAGACCAAAAACTTTGAAACATTTGCTGCATATGTTGATACCTCTTAACGTAGTTGATTTTGTCAGAGGACAGATCGCGTTGTGGCACAGCTGTCAATTGGCGACCAATTAAGAAATGTGCAGGGGTCAAAACTTCGAGGTCACCAGGACTCGTTGAGACTGGGACTAAAGGTCGTGAATTGAAAACTGCTTCCACTTGATTTAAAATTGAATAAAACTCTTCATAAGTTAACAAATTCTTATTGAGAATGCGCTTTAAATGGTGCTTGCATGACTTTACAGCAGCTTCCCACAATCCGCCAAAGTGAGGAGAACGAGCAGGAATAAAATGCCATTTAATTTGGGAAATACTCAAGTAATGTTGAAAAGCAGCAATTTCGGTAAAATTGGTAATAGACTTGAGCTCGTTGTGGGCTCCTATAAAATTAGTACCATTATCTGAACATATTCCACGTCTGGACACAAAACGTTTAAGCATACTTAGAAAACCTTCACTGGTTAAATCAGTTATCAATTCTATATGCACCGCCTTAGTGCTAAAACAAACAAAAATACAAACATATCCTTTAATTATTTTTCTATTTTTCGTTTTGCCATCTTTTAATTCAAAAGGACCAGCAAAATCAACAGCTGTATGCGAAAAAGGATATGAAGGGGAAACGCGAGGACTTGGAAGTTGTCCCATTTTGGTAGTTAGTCGTGCAGGATTTGCTCTAAAACACTTAAGGCACTTCCGGATACACGACTTTACAGCAGAATTTCCATTAATCGGCCAAAAATGTTGCCTTATATGTGAAAGAGTTGTATTTACTCCAGCGTGCAAACATCGCTCGTGTTCATAGCGAATCAATAACTTAGTGAAGATATGTTTAGTAGGTAAAATAATGGGATGAATCTGATCAAAATTTAAATTGCTGTTAGCTAGTCTGCCTCCTACTCGAAGCAAACCATCTGATGTCAAAATGGGAGATAAAGATTTCAATGAACTCTTGTTACCAACGGGTTTATTTTTCTTCAAACGTTCTAGATCAGCGGTTCCCAACCAGTGGGTCGCGACCCCTAAGGGCCACTAAGGGGGTCGCATAGAGTTTTTGGAGGGGTCGCAATGCCAATGTATATTTTTCTGCATTTGGCAACACGCCTTATACCTCATTCTCACTTGCGCAAAATTCGCTCTTTTTTTGACAATGCTGTGACAATTTGACGTTTTATGCGTGTATCAAACGTCAAATTGTCGAAGCAATGTCAAAAAAGAGTGAATTTCGGGCAAGTGAGAATTGACCTTTTCAATTTAAAAGCCTCTCTCTCTGGCATCAAACTGTCAGTCGCCAAAAGAGTATGAAAACAATAGTTGACAGCCGTTGACAGTGGTTTGTAGACAAGACTTTTCAAAAAAACTATTATTTCCTTGGGTTTTTCAAGGGTTTTTCTTAACAATGGTGATTGTGTGTAGTGTGCCTATCCATAAAACTAATTTATATTTATTCCTATTCACCGGCGGACGTGTTCTTCCATAAGTTTCCATCAAATCCTACATTTGTCAAAACTTGGATACACAAAATCAGAATGCAGAAAGAATACTCGCAAAAACAAGGGAAATCCACGGCCCATCGAGTATACAAAGTAATCCACGTTCAAGTTTAGTTTACAGAAGCTGTTTGCTTCCAAAATAATCCACCACCGGCTCCATAGCGAAGTTCTGCGAATGAAGCAGTGACTTTTCCAACATTTTCTTCCCAATTTCAAACCCTGCGTTTTTATTATCAAATTTTACCGATGGATCCATCATTTTATGTCGGTCATTGTCATTTTCCATTCACTAAACAAAGATAGCTAACTCA